CCGAGAACTAAAAAATAAATATTAAAAATTCTCTCTCTCTCTCTCCTCTCTCACTTTCTCTTTAAAAAAAAAAAAATAGAATATAGAAAGAACTCTTCCAGGGCTGAGATGTAGCTTAAAAGGCCCTGGGTTTGATGCCCAGCAACACACAGACATATGGAGAATGCTGGCAACTCAGTAAAAAGGCAAATAATCCAGTTTTAAAATAGGCAAAGAAAAAAAAATGACAAAATTTGACCACGCATTTTTCCAATGAAGATATGCAGCCAATAAACACATGAAAGCCATTCAATATTACTGATCAATAGGGAAATGCAAATCAAAACTGGAATGATATACCACTCTACATCCACTAGGATGGCTATAATTTTAAAAAGCAGACACTGACAAAGGTTAGTGGGGATATGGAAAAACTGCAAACCTTATACAGTGCTGTTAAATGGGGCAGCCACTTTGCAATCCAGCTTGGAAGTTTTTTGTTAAATTAAACATAGAATTAACATTTCCAAGGAGAGACAGTGGAATGAATCTGACAGAACTTTCCCATATACATATATGAATATACCACAATGAATCTCACATTGTGTACATCCACAAGAAACTAATTTAAAAAAAAAAACTATGGGTAAATGGCAGAAAGATCAGAAGAGGAAAGGGAGGAGGAGATGGGGAGAGGGAGATATATTCCATGGTTTTATAATTATGTTAAGATGAATTCGACTGTCATGTATAACCAAAAAGAACCAAAAAAATGATAGAGTGCCTGCCTAGAATTCATGAAACCAGACACAAAAGGCCACACACCATGTGATTCCATTTATATGCAATATCTAGAATAGGACAATCCATAGGGATGGAAAGCAGATAACTGGTTATGAAGGGCTAAAGGGAAGGGGAAATGGAGAGTGACTTCTAGTATCAAGTTTCTTTTTGTGATAATGAACATATTCTAAGTGAAAACTGTTGCACAACTCTGTAAATATATTAAAAATACTGAATTATACACTTTAAAGGTATGAATTATGGTAACCTCTCAACAAAGCTGTTATTTAAAAATACTTAAATTCTAGAACAGTCAAAGGTGTTTTTATTTATTTATTATGATGTTTTACTATTTTGCAATACTGGGGGTTAAACCTAGGGGTGCTCTACCACTGAGCTGACATCCCCACCTTATTTTATTTTGAGATAGGGTTGCCCAGGCTGGCCTTGAACTTGCAATCCTCCTGCCTCAGCCTTCCAGCTAATTAGTATTACAGGTCCAGGTCTGTGCATCTGCTTCCAGCTCAAATACATATAAAAATAAACAGATAAAATAAAGATATTGTGTCCATCTACAACTAAAAAAAAAAATTTTAAATCCCTTTTGAATGTTAACAATGTTATGGCACATACTTAATATATAAGCAATTAATTTCCCTGGGGAGGTTTTCACAAAGGACAAATTATAAAATATGTGTTTGATAGGAATTGAACACAGGGTCTCATGCATGTCCTCATAGATATTTTTGTAGTAGTAAAATTAGCCTAAATTTCTAAGAACAATTAAGTCTGTATACATGTATGTATATATCTGTGTGTGTGCATACCTATACATACACATATAAATAAATAAAATAAATAAGGGTCATTGTTGTGATAAAATAATTTGTAGGTATATTGAAATATTTCACAACAATGTTCAGAAAATAAACATGCATATTGTGTATAAATCTATACACGAAAATGACAACGAAATTCAACAAAAATGTTAATAGAGTTACTTCTGGGTTGTTAAATAACACTTAGAATCACAAATACATTATAAAGCACAATTTCATAGACTCTAAAGACAACTAAA